CTCCATAAGAAAATATGAATAAGTGAATAATCCTTTTATCATACAAATTTTTAACATGTGCATTAGTTCTGAATCTTTTTTTGGTTGGAGATTACTTAAATACTTAGTTCTATGCATCTTGTCTTGTTCAGTAATTGAAATTTAATATTTCACAATGGAGGCTATGATTATTATTATTATTATTCACTTGCTATTTGGAAGCTTTCTTATCATTTCCACTTTTTATCTGAAATCATTCAGTTGGTGTGATCTCTGATCATCTTCAAGTGCAATGTTGTCTATTAACCTTTTCCCATTATAGATAACACCAATTAGTTATTTCATGGCTCAAACAATGAATATTGATTGCAAGAGTTGTTCAGACTATTGATCTTCTTTTTGTTGCTACCACAATAGCTAAGCCATTTCTGAGCCTTCCTCAGGTGTATAATGTAAGTATAGCTGGCCACTCATATTCGAGGATACCTGTCTACTAGGGCGGCTAGCCAATCCCTATTGCAGACGCTTGCTCAGGTGCATTTGTGTTTATTCAACACCAACAGAGTCCACCTGTGGTTTATACTGCAACTATGCTGAGCAGACCTTAGTTACAGTTTCTGAAAAAGAGTGCGTTATCTAGCGGGATCAACAATTTGAACAAGGCCAGCACGCTCAAGCCCTTGGCCACGATGACTTGTGACCATTCTAGCACAACTATCAATGGCACCCAAGGGTTCTGTCTACCCAATTTCACCCACAAGGCTTGGGTCAACCTGGGGTATGGTTTGCAGGCACTTTTCAAAGGTGCCGCTTGCTGGGATCGATCCCTCCTATCCAATAACATCAGGAAGTCTCCTTCCTGACAAATCAACTGCGGTTAGATTCAAACCTTGGTCTCATGGTCAGAATGCAAACGTTCTAACCACTCGGCCATGTGCCCATGTATAATGTATACAGAGATTCCCCATTTTTGTCAAGTAGTATTTACCAGTTCTGGGTGCGCAGTGGTGTAATGGATAGTGACTCTGAATGATAAATTAGATAGTCAACTTCAATTTCCAATCAAGTTTATTACATTCACTTAAACACAAATACCCTTGGGAAAGCTATAAATGCTTCTTTTCTACCCTGAGCTATGTGCAAATAGCAGGACAGACTGGGCCTTATAGCCTTGGTTGGCAACCAATCTAGGAGAAGGAAAACTTCAAACCAGGCTGGAGAGGGTTGGGCTCAGTCAGGCTATCTTGCCCAAAACACACAACTGCTGCTATGGCTGCAGTATATGTGATACCCCTATGACTCTAATGGGTTATGGGACATGTGATTGTGATTTACTAATAATGGCTGGCTACTCATTTCTAAGCACACCTGTCTCTTAGGGTGGTTAATCAATTCTTATTGCAGATGTCTACTAAGGTACATTTGTGTTTACTCAAAATCCATAGAGTTTACCAGTGTTTTATTCTGCAACTATACTGAACAGACATTAGTTACAGCTTCTGAGAGAGAAAGTAAATGAATAAGAATAGCTTCAGGTGGTCACTGAGATCTTAAAGAAAACAACAGTTCATCAGATCTTATAGACTGGTGCTACAAAATCACTAAAAAATGAAACAGACTCCCAAGATGGTGCTTCCCTGATCACTAAAATCTTAACCTCTTCAAGTTTAGGGTCAACTGTTATCTATCCTCAAAATCTACTTCCTTTTCTTATATCCAACCAACAACCTCAACAACATTCTACCTTGAGTGGCTCTTAGGCCTTGAATGGTAAAAAAACCCAGTTAAAATGAATATTACATACAATTAAAAGGGGAAATGATATTATCAAGACGTTGACTTTCCACATTAGCTTAAACAAAATCTTAGGAAGGAAAGCAGCATCCCTATTTTCTGTGATTCTTTAGGGAAAATAGTGGAATGGTTTTGCATTGATTTTTCCCCAGTTTTGAATTGTTCATTTCCTGAACTGACTGCTACAAAAGGCTACAGATCACTGCTACTTATCCCATAGTAGGGAGAAGATAAAATATTTCCATGTCTTTTCCAAGGGAATTAGTATGAAGTGAATGCAACAGACTAGTCTAAAATTTGAACTTGACCCACTAATCTCCCTGTCCATGCCAATAATCATTACATTACCTGCACAAAACAAATTTGAAGATACCAACAGTACAATAGTACTGAAGTCATTGAGGAAATGAACATTTAAAATGTTACGGCCTAATAAATGTACAATGAAATTAAGTAACGTTAAGTCTCTTCACTGGCAATGAGGAACTGACCATTCTAAGAATGGCAAATGAAACTCTAATTCCAAATACAACTCTAATAAAAACACCACTTAAATACATGCAAGTAGACAAAATAAATAAATATACTGTTTAATAAATAAACAGAGCATCTACGTAAATATGGGTATCTACTAAAAATAATGTTTTAGTAATAAAATAATATATATATATATATATATATATATATATATATATATATATATATGAGTTAAAGATCAAATGTAGATCAGAATCTGACAGGATGATAAGATAATGAACAAATAGGGAAAAACATTTATCAAGCTAACATGTTTCACTTTTATTAAAGCTTTGTCAGTGATTAAGAGAAACAAAAAAAAAAGACAGAAGTTCTGGTATATTTGTGTGGTTTGATTGTCATTGGTCAGTCATGTATCCTGTGCATTATAACCAGAGATAAATCTATAATAGATAGATTGATAGGATATTGTAATTATTTACATTTTTGGACTGTTGTTCTCATTTTTGTTGCCATATTCACAATGTTTCGGTGGTTGTACACTTCAGCCTTCTTCAGGTGATTGGAATTTCAAACTGAACTCTTCATTTCATCCACTGCAGTAGTTTGTTCCATATACCATGTGTCTTTCAGATGTCTCAGTTATCTGCCTTTAACTCAAATTTCCAAGATTTTGTTCACCAATGCAGGCGGAAGGTATTAAACTCACAACTCTTTGGATCAAATCACTGAATCCAGCCAACACTTTTATCCACTAGGACATGAGGACATCAGTGTATGAATTTTTGGGACTTATAAATTTACTGTCTCAGCCTATTTTTTTTCCCAGAACTCATATTGTAATTTTTGTTTTTATTATTGTTTTTCTCCAGTACTCTGTATTACTGGTTCCCATAATGTATTCATTCCAATCACCTGAAGAAGGCTGGAGCATACAACTGCAAAACATTGTGAATATGGCAACAAAGATGAGGAAAACAGTCTGAACAGTGTAAATAGAGTGACAGGAGAAGATAGGTTTGCCTCCCCCTGTTTTTTGAACAGGAGTAGAGGTTTTTTGCTTGTTCTCTGTTTATGATTGGGTTTCCGCTTCCTTCTAAAGTCTTCTCATTCTTTTTCACACCCATTAGCTCCTTGTGTCATCTTGGAATTATCACCATGTATAATGTTGGGTTCCCAGTTCCTTCTGGAATCTTCTCATTCTCTTTCACTCCCAGTAGCCCCTTGTGTCGTAGTGGCATTATCACCTTGCTTGGGAGTGAATTGATTAAAAAAAAGATAGATAGATAGATAGATAGATAGATAGTCTAATGCAGGGAAAGTTATTAAATATCTTAGTCATTTTAAAAATATAAGGGATATAGTTTTACAATTCCCTCTACAACTAGGGTTACTGTTTAGGGTGTAGGTTTAGCTGAAATAACAAATGTTTCCCAAGGCAATACCAGGTCATCTTGCTAGCAATGATGGACCACACAAATTGATATGCTTTGAGATAACATGCATTTTTTATGCCACAGCCATTAGTGCAGTGCTGTCAAGAACGCTCTTTGTCTGTCTGTTTGTCTGCTTTCCCATTCAGTGCAAGTATAAATGCATGCATGCACACTATAGACAGGTTAAATAAAAGCTGAAGGGAACACATCAACAACAACAACAACAACAACAAAAGAGAGAAAAAAAAGAATAAAAAAAAAATAGTAGTTTTAGGCATCGACCCTGGCCATCTACAAGAGTTCTGTTGCTGACCACTCCTGCTAGGATTCCATCTGCCGCAAGAGATCCATCCTTCCCACTTTTTTTTTTTTTTTTCACAAGCAGGAAAGAAACTGTCCACCTCAGGAAAAAGGAGACAGTGGAAAGAAGGAAAGATAGAAGAAAAGACTGTGTCCCCTCCCACATAATTCTGAAAAACGAAATCTTCAACTGCCTGCCATACCATCAATGATGTCAGTGAGGAATCGGCCTCTACAGTCCTACTTTGATGGTGCCAAGGACAAGAATATAAAGAGACAACGATGAAGAGGTGGCGGTCAGCATATATCAAATTAACGATGGAATGCCTCAAGTAATTCTTTACATGCATGCATGTGTGTCCCTTAAAAATGTCAAAAGAGATGTAAAGAAGAAAGTACATAGGCATATCAGCACATATACATGCACACACACACACACATACATACATACATATATATATGTGTGTTTGTGTGTGTGTGTATATCTGAACAGGAATTATCGATGTACAAAGAATTTGTAACCATGCAAGGGTATTAGACCAAAAATATTTGCCATTGCATGTAGACCTGTGTAAGTAAAATGGATGTTTTTATCTGTGTATAGATTTGTGCATTTATTGATATAGGTAATTCTATGTACACACATTTATGTGTGTGTCTAGAGAGATTATGAAAATGTGGATATATTGTCTTCTTTGATAGTATGGATACAGAAAAGCATAATGGCAATATGTGTGTGTATATATATATATATATATATATATATATATATATATATATATATATACTCACGCACATTTTGTGTATATATATATATGTATATATATATATATATATATATATATAAAGTATCACATTTTATTTGTAATAATCTTATATATATATATATATATATATATATATATATATATATATATATATATATATATTGATTTGTGTATCTGTTTATATAGTAATAATAATACAAATCAAAATGTATAAAATTACATTACAGTTTTCAAGGTGAGCAGAGCTTATGGCCATATCTCATTGAAACATTGGTTCCCTTCTGATCACTGAATTTAAGCAATGTTAAGCCTAGTAGTACCTGGATGGGTGACCACTTAGGAATATCAGGTATTGTATGCCTTGATGTACAGGTTGTGTAATGGATAATGACTTAGAATTGAAAATCAGAGAGCTGAGTTGATTACATACACTTACATGCAAATACCCTTGGGGAAAGTAGGAATTTATGTCTCCTCCCATCTATGGGTTAAATAATAAAACTTGTAATGAAAATGTTAATAAAATATTCACTTACAAAAAAAAAAAAAAATCTTCTTACAATCCGAAAATATGTTTTAGTTTTAAATAACATACAAAAAGATGCTAAGCAGTAAAAGGCAAAAAAATACAAAACAAAGTAGAATTTTTGTCAAGAAAATACTCAACAAAGAACTAGAGCTACAATGGTCAATAAGTCAATAAATGTTAACTGAACATTTATTAATATCTATCTATAGATCTACAGATAGATAGACATGAATAGTGTGTGATAGATAGCTATAAACAGAGATAGACATAGAGAACATAGAGAGAGAGAGATATATAAACATAGATAGATAGATAGATAGGTAAATAGATAGATAGATATGAACAGAATGAGATAGATAGCTATGAACAGAGTGAGATAAATAGATAGGAGTGTGTACATATATTACCATTTTACTTTTTCTCTATATGCACTAGATAGACGTGAACAAACTTAGATATTAACCCACTGAATGGCAGAAGTTTCCATCATTTACAGTTGGGCTATAAAATTGCTATGACAGAAACCTCTTTCATCAATAGTTAATGTGTGAACAGACTTTGGTACAAAGATATGAATATATATATATATATATATATATATATATATACTGGCATAACATGGCTTCCCTCTGTCTGTTCTACAAATATTTTCATGGCAACTGCTCAGGCAAGCTTTTTTTCCCTGGTGCTTCAACTACATGAATTTAAGCATACTACTTCTACTCTAACAGTTTTCTTTCTTTCTTGCACTTTGCACTTGTAGAACTTCTTTCTGATTTCTTGCTTCCTGATAACTACAATCTTTAAAAAATATAAATGCAATGTCAATAGCCATCTTCTGTCTCCTTGAACCCTGTTCCTTTTTTGTCCTATACTCAATCCTTCCCATTTTCAATCTTCTCATTCTCATTCACTTTCACTCCCTGTAAGCCCCTAATGGCATTGTTGTCTTGCTTGGGGTGAAATGATTAATTAATATATATATATATATATATATATATATATATATATATATATATTTTACACACAGATAGAGAGTGAGGAGGATTTATATAATTTCAGTAAATTATTTTTGGCTACCTTGCATCTAAGTACTCAATGTGATCAAAATTAAATCTCTCATGTTGCTACTTTGAGCTTAACCTTTTATAAGTATATCACTGCGTGAATTGAGCCAGATTAAACAGTAACTACCCACAAAAATGGCCATCAGAAGACTGAATTTTCAAGTAGTCAAAACTATCCTGTTTTTGGCAATTGGCATGAATCAAACCTCTTCAGAATCCTCCAGGTTGCACATTGATATAAATGTATAATGTGATACTGATATATAAGTGTATTTTGGCAGCAATCACTCTTTTATACAGGTTTCATTGGAGATGACTGACAAGTCACTGCAATTAAGCTTTTTTATTATATTTTTCTTGTATTTGTACAATTGATTTCCTTTTTCAACATAGAGTGAATAAAAGCTGTTCAAATGATTTATGGTCTGAACACTTTCAGCTAATCTATTAGCTGTTATCAAGAATTTTTTTATGTTTGAATATGTAGATTTTTATTTTAACAATAATAGGAATGTTTCAATTTCTGAACACAGTCAGTATAATGTGGCCGTGTTCATAATTGATATTATTGAGAGTGGATTTCTATTTTAATTGTTAATGCTTCCATTATTTTTTAACTGTTTTTTTTGCATTTAAATGCATTTATTATGCTTCTGTTCTCTAAGGCCATGTTGTGGATAGAGGTTAGTAGGTCTTCATGTGCATGTAAATGGGTACTAATGGAGCTATGATCCAAGAGATGCAGTGAAAGTCTTTTTGATAGTCATGTAGTTGTATGTCCGATGTAATTATTATTCATGAATTTGTTTTCATCAAGAATGTAGTTCCATAAGGAGTATGTGTAGATTCATAGATTATGTGGGTCCTATGTAGCTTGGGTCTTGCTGGTGAGTTGTTATTGTTGATGATGAGGGTGGCTGTTTTAAATCTTTTTTTTTTATAATAGTTTATCAACTCAAACTTCTTGTTCTGATTGACAGGAGTTGTATATTTCTTAAGGGTAAATTTGTTAAATTAATGTGCATTTGATTTTTATAGAAAATGTTAAATTGTATTTTTTATGTTCAGTCTTACTATTGCTTGCTTTAGAGAAAACTTACCTAATTTAATTATTTATAAAGGTGGTTCAGGAAGCCATTATTAACCAGCATCTATTTTATGTTCTTTAAAGAATAACAGACGAGAGAGTATAAATTTTTGTGCAGTCTCATGAGAAAATTTTTATAAGGCACCTATTTTGTATCTAAGTAGGCATTTGCTCATAATATTTAGATGGCAGGAATTTTTACTTGTCGGTTTTTTATATATGATGTGGTGAATATTACTACTCTACGAAAATGTCTAAGAATGAAAGTCTTTTTTTTTCCTAAGTTCATAAGGAAATTTAAGAATGGTGTTTTTTTTTCTAATGTAGTTTTAAAATTTCATTTTCTTTTTTTTATCTTCAGCTAAAATAAAAAAAATCATCTACATCGTTGAAGTATATTTTAGGTTTTGTAACTTTCTCAAATGTTTTCGATGTGAGACATGTAAGTAATTATTAAGAGAAGCACAGTCCGAGTGGATTTCCCATTTTCACTTTTCTTGTCTGTTGAACAGACACTGGTTAATAATGGCTTCCTGAACCACCTTAATCAAATTTAGTTCTCTCTAACTAAAGTAACCAGTAGTAAGACTGAACATGAAGAAAAATCAATACTATTATTAACATTTTTTATAAAAATCAAATGCATGTTAATTATAAACAGGACAAATTTGCCATTATGAGAAAGTTTAAGAAATATACACCTCCATTCTACCAAAGAATGATTTTAAGTTGATAATCTATTATAACAAATTTAAAACGGCCAACCTTCTTGTGAACAATAACAACTCAAATCCAAAATCCAAAGGAACAATATTATTTATGAATTTATATGCCCCTTATGGAACTGGCTATCTTTGCATCTCTTGAATCATAGCTCTGGTAAGAAGACCTATTTACAGAGAATGACCAACCTATATCCGTAACATACTTGTAGAGAACACATTCATAATAAACGTATTTAAATGTAAAAAAAAATAGTTAAAAATAATGAAATGTTAACAATAAAAAGGAAGAAACCAATTCTCAGTAATATACTATGAACATGGCCACAATATGCTGACTGTGTGCAGAAATTAAAATGTTCCTATTGTTGTTAAAATAAAAATCTACATATTCAGATAAAAAAAAAATCCTTGATAATGGCTAATTAGCCAAAAGTGTTCGAACTCACAGATCATTTGGACAGTTTTTACATATTTGATGTCCCCCAAAAGAAATCACTTGTCAGCAAAGATAACACACTCACATACAGAACTAGATCAGAGATTGGATCTTTTCTGTTAATTCATCTTAAATAATGTAAAGTTTTATTTCCTGTTCAGTCATATTTTAATCTTTCCCTTTCTACAAAAAAGGGCTTTCTTTCCTGTTTTGAAAAAAAAACAAAAAAACAATTACATACACACATACACACATACATAAATATATATATATATATATACCTCTACAGAAATGCAATACCTAAGGTATAAAATGAATTTTTAAAAATGAAAAAAACTTTCTTGAAGTTTTTATTTCAATTTTAATTTCAAGCTGATAGATTAAGTTTAATATTTCCAATAAGCAAAATATTTTTATTCATTTCAAAATTAATTTAAACTAACTGGAAGGAGTTTTCATTTTAAAATTGTTAAAATAGCTGATTTTAGCACCATTTCTTCCCTTCTGTCATCTCAATGTAATTCTGTTTATTAAAAATCATTTAAAAATAAAATATACTTTCCCAAAACTTTATTTGAGGAATATTAGTGGATTTGAAGTTTAAGTAATCTGATTTGAAAGAAATATTACTTTTAAAGTTTAATTAATATTATTTACATTTTTTAACATGGCAGTAAGCATTTATTTAAAGTATTAACAGCTTGACTGATAGTTTATTTAATTTTTTTCTATGGTGGATATATTTGTAAATAGTTACATGAGGAATATGAAATGAGTGCCTTTTTTATATAATATCTAACTACCCAGTATTCTTAAAAATTTAGGAAAATATTCTTAATGTTTTATTAAATTTTAGTTACTTTGGCTTCAAATTTACTATTATTTTTATTTTATGTCATTTTTGGATGTCTGTATTTACAAAACGTCCAATTATACACATACAAAAAATTCAAAATTCCTTTTAAAATAGTCTGGTGGCGGGGGGCACTAAATTGTAATAAACTTTTCCATTTATGATTAGTAAATATAGTTTTCAGTTAATAACAATATCACTTAACCGGAACAAATTAAGACAGAATTTTAAAAAATTTGAAACATTACAAATTATTATAATTAAAATTTTAAAAAATTGAAAACAGTTTTTTCTTAAGACAACATTGTCCATAATATATCGTATTCATAAAATCAATTAAAAGCTTTTCTAATTGAATAATATCTTAGTTTTATTGCATTTTCTATTTTATGATTCAGAGCAGATTTTTTGTAAGTGGGGAACTGTTTTACAAAAAGAAATTGATGATTTAAATTCTCCAAGGAGTTCTGCTTTTAACTAATATAAACATTAAGCAGGTCAAAATTTAATTTCTCGAAATTTCATAAAATGAATAAGTGTGTGGGGGACGGGGGAAATATTTTTACCAAGATTTACAAAAAAAAAACATTTTTAAAATAATTTCATTCATTTGGGAATAAATCTTGAAAGTTCTATTAAAATCAGACAATTATTTTATTTTTG